AATAATTTTTCAAACGACTAATTAGGAATAAATGTGGCTATGAAATTGCAGCTGTCAAATGTTGCCGAATTAGTTCGTTCCAGCCTGAATCGAATAAAATTTTGTATTATGCATTAAACATTTTGGACTTTAGGAACTTACAATTTTTTATGCGATACCACTCCTCCTAAATCCTATTTACTTATAAAACATTTTCATCTCCTGTTTTATTCCCTTTGAAATTATATTGTAACAACTAAATAAAGAGGGGCCTAATCTATTTACAATACCCAATGATGGGTGCAACATACTTACATTATAACATCTAATAAGGAGAAATTGAGAAGTGATAAGATTTCAATACAATACCACCATACCTATTTCAGAGTTTTTATTAGTACTTCCTTGTGTATTTAACAAATACTCTGCTTAAAAAAACCTTGTCCTGGCCATTACGAACATAATAAAAAGATAAATTTTCCAATTTGGCGATCTTTTTTAAGTTCAAAAATTTAATTCGCAACAGTTCATATTTGTATACGTAAAATCGTAACAAGCTGCTAAAGAGCGTGTTTTATTGTCTATACCATGGCACATGTTCTAAGGAGTTATTCTCCCTTATCCCACCTTCCCCTTTCCTTCATGGGACTCCGTGCTTTGGCCAACATTGTCACCAATTTAGTGTGGCCATTAATCCAACGCAAACTAAGAATTTTGGTGACGATTTCTTTGTCGCACTATCCGCAAATGCAATGCTTTGCCCGCTAACGTTTTCCCTTCTCCTACTGCCCGGGATGCCTTAAAAGAAGCTTGACAAAGTAATATGCAGGCCGGCAAGCTGAGGAGGGCTGGTGTGGCAGGTAAAACTGCTGTAGGTACCAGCTATCTTCGCGTCTGGACTTCGCCGTTACTGAAGTGTGAACATCAGGTGGGTTGGAGTCATTTGTCGAACCTATTTATAAAAAAAATGGTACTCTGTAGTCTTCCAAGCAGTTTGTTGTGCACTTTTTGCATGCTTGACGTTGTTCGTGGTATAATGCATTTTTCCCCACAGGGGTAAGTGGTCTATCTAGACCACAAATAACCCTTCTTCCCGTCATCATTGATAAAAAGGTAGACAATACAAGCCCCCTTGTTTGTACCTTAGTATGCTTCCTCAGGTCATACAGTATCTCCTTGTAAAAACTCCTAATCCTACGTTGGACGTTAATATAAAATTGGCAAAATTCAGCATTCAATTAATGGGCATAAAAGGCCGAAAAAATAAATAAAAATATAAACATCAAAATTATAACTCAAATTATTTAAAAAAAAAATATCCTTCATTAATAAATGGTGGTCTCAAAGGAAATCGATGGAAAAGCAATTTTTCAAGTAATGATATTTTTGTGCTCACTTTATGCAATTTTAATTACTTACTTTAAACAAAAACCTTAACAAACCCTGAAAACAAGGAATAAGCTTAAACTAGTTACACCGTGTTTTGTTCGTGTCACTTAAATGCCTTTTGTCATTCAATAGACAGAGACAAAACATGGAGTAATTAATCCAAGCGTAGTCTTCGTTTAATAATAAGGGGGTTAGATAGATAGATATTAACAGTGGGCCTTACTTAATTTAAACGAAGTAAAATTAAAATTCTGGTCCCTTGATTCTATAAGGCATAACCTATTTTAATAGGTCTCCTTTTGTTACATCATGCCTGGACTATTAATATAATTGGTTCGTGGTTGTATGTATAATTTCGAAATCAATAAGTTCTTTATTTGATATTAAAGATTAAGATTCAAATTATTTTTAGTATTTTGTGTAGTACCTACTTACTTCCGTCTCTCGTCTATGTTATTTCATTCATCAACAGCCTATCCTAGTCCACTGCTGGACAATGGACATACCAGATCGATTTTGGGCTTTTTTTGTCTTTTGGTTATTTCATTAATTGGTGTTAATTTTTCGATAATGTTTAACTGCAATAAGATTCGATATTAGCTAATGTATGAGAAATCTACAAAGATTCTGCAGTCAGTACTAATGTAAATTATTTAAGGAGTTTTCATTTTTTATATTCAAACTAAAGAGAGCCATCTAGTGAATATGCCTGGCACTATGTTGTACAACAAAATAAATCATCGAAGCACCGTATCGCATATCGAATGTTAATCAGACCTAACATGATTGTTGCATAGAGAGCGCTATAATACCAATTGAACATTAATCCGCCAAATCACATACAAAATTGACTCATCTTCAGCGTCAAATAAACGTAAAAAAAACATTCAAAATCTCTTCCCCCTTATTAATAAATGAAGAATAAGTTCGGATTAGTTACTCCATGTTTTGTCTCTGTTCATTGAATGACATATGGCATTTGAGTGACATAAACTAAACACGTCACGATCTAAACTTATTCCTTGTTTATTATTAGGGGGGCCTGAGTTTTACTAACATAGTTTTCTTGCCTGTTGAAATTTTCTATGTGCTATATGTTAAATTTATCACTTAGAAAGAACCACGCTGCTTCTATAATTTTATAATGATTAACCACCAACCAATCACTCAACCAGAAATTTTAGCAAACAGGGTGATAGAACTGTATTTTGATGTGTTAAAATTGGGATAAATAATTTATACAACTACATATTTTTACTTCTTTCTTTCTAATTAACGCTCATTTTATATATTGTATGTTTATGTAGGGAAAATAAAAAACTTTTGTTATTCAATGATATACTAGCTGTAGTTATATTATTATACCGTGTACTTTTTCAGAGCTTTTGACTGAAAAGCATGTATATATGTATATTTTATAATATACTATTAACCTAGTAATTCTTGTACATACACATGCATAATTATCATCATCAGCAGCCCTGTACTTTAGTAGTGACATTTTTACATCTATAGCGCCTATAAAACTTCTACGGGCAAAAAAACCTATGTTAGAATCGCATTTAGCAAAAGCGGAACTTAGGGACATTGATAATATTTTCATTCTAAAACTTGATTTACATTTCTGTAGTGCCGGAGATTGGACCACTTTGGCGGATCTTCTTTGCCAACTATTTTGTTTTTCTCATTATTTGATGTTTGCTCTTTTCTATGATTGTTTGCCGTGTTCAATAACACGGCAAACAATCATACACTCTGCACGTTCTTTCCGGTTGACTGGTAGAAAATGCCATGTTGGCATTAAGTCCGCCATATGCAATGTAAAGGCATTAAAGAATAAATAATAATAAAAAAACTAAAAGTCTATGAGCCCACGAACGCCGCGACGCTACGTTCACCATGGACGTTCACCCATTCATGACATGACCAATAATCTTTATATATATAATTCTTCTGTGAGTGTGTATGTCACTGAACTTCTCTTAAACGACTGGACCGATTTTGATGAAATTTTTTGTGTGTGTTCAAGGGGATCTGAGAATGGTTTAGATTCACAATTTTGTCCGCTGGACAACCCCTATTTTTTTAGGGCGGTACGAAGTTCGCTGGGTCAGCTAGTATACATATATATTTATATATCATCAGGGAGGCTTATCAGACTAGGTTTAAGTGTTGTGGGCTCTCGTACTATACGTCGTATCGTAGGTAATGAAAAAAAAAGTCTGTCGGTGAGTAAGGTTCCAGGGCTCTACGGAGCCTACCCCGTTGCCTACACTGACACAATCCCCTAGGATTGGGTCAGGGTAGGGAACGGAGCAAATGTTTTTTTTGTATCGCAAGAGTCTATAGGCTATAGTGGTTCCGTACCATCAGGTGAGCCATAAGCTTATTGCCATAAAAAATGTGTAAAAAAAAATTAAAAAAATGTTGTCGGACTCGCGCACCGATGGTTCCGTACAAATTCAATTTAATACCTCTACGCGTTCATGAGAAAAGAGGTAACTTTAAAATTTTCAAAAATATTGTGTATTATACGATGTAAGTAAAAATTTACGGTTTTCGCAATTTTTTCTTTATCTGTACTATAAGAAGAGTACAATCAACCCCTGTGCCTAGCATTTGTGGACTATGAGAAGGACTTTGACTCGATTGAAATCTGTTCTGTCCTGGAGTCCCTGCAGCGTTGCCAGGTCGACTGGCGATACATCTAAGTGATTAGATGTCTCTACGAAGCCGCCACCATGTCTGTCCAAGTACAGAATCAGCAAATAAGTCTCATACCGTTGCACCGTGGAGTGAGACAAAGAGACGTTATTTCCCCAAAATTGTTCACTAATGCAATGGAGGGTTATGTTCAAGACGCTGAACTTGAAAGGACGTGGCATCAACATACATGGCGAACGCATCTCTCACTTGCGATTTGCAGACGACATCGTCATCATGGCAAAAACCTACAAAACATGCTGAATGATTTGGCTGACTCTTTTATACGCAACCGGCTACGGATGAACTTGGATAAAACCAAGGTCATGTTCAATGAACATGTTCTACTGGAACCGATTGCAATATACGGTGCCGTTCTCGAATTTGTTCAAAATTATGTGTACTTCGGGCAGACATTGCAGATAGGTAGAAACAACTTTGAGGATGAGGTGAATAGAAGAATTCAGCTAGGTTGGGCAGCGTTTGGGAAGCTACGTCAAGTCCTGACATCGTCGATCCCACAGTGCCTAAAGACGAAAGTTTTCAATCAGTGCGTCCTGTCTTTGATGGCATACGGAGCCGAGACGTGGACACTGACGGTACGGCTAGTCCACAAGTTCAAAGTCGCTCAGCGCGCTATGGAAAGGGCTATGCTCGGCGTTTCTCTGAAGGATCGCATCAGAAATCAGGTAATCCGACAGAGAACCAGAGGTATCGACATAGCCCACCGGATTAGCAAGTTGAAGTGGCAATGGGCTGGCCATATTTGCCGAAGAACTGATAACCGTTGGGGTAGACGAGTTCTGAAGTGGAGACCGGGTCTAGGCAAACCACGGAAAGATGGAGTGACGATTTGCGCAAGGTGGCTGGCAGGAGCTGAATGCGAGTAGCCCAAGGTCGATCTGAGTGGCGTGCAATTGGAGAGGCCTATATCTAGCAGTGGACAAGGATAGGCTGTTGAAAGTAAAGACAAAATTATGTTTTTCATGGAGTATGCTATTTAGGTATCTTAATAAAATTCCATAAGTTTTATTAGTTGATCAGGTTTAATGCTTGTATATTTCTTTTTATTTAATTCTAATTTCGGTAGTTTGTCCACAATCTGTTTTGCCGATACTTAGCACAGTTTACTCGAAAAAGCATTATTTTACTAAAGTTATTTTATAAAACAGTAATAAAAGATATCTTACAACTCAGTGTTATTGTTTCTATCCCCAAATAATATAAATATTTTATTAAGAGCTACGGTCTATCGTAAAAATAAGCACAAGTCACGTTAAACTTTGGTGTGCATAACAAAAATATCTTTTGGCTTTATTTGGATCAAATTAAAGAACAGTATTACCTTAGATAGATGTCGATTACCTAATCACGCGTAGTGGTAACATGTATTTAAATAAAAATTATATTGGGATATATATATAATATATATATATATATATCCCAATATACTAATATTATAAAACTGTAGAGTTTGTTTGTTTGTTTGAACGCGCTAATCTCTGGAACTACTGGACCGATTTGAATGATTCTTTCAGTGTTGGGTAGTCCATTTATCGAAGAAGGCTATAGGCTTTCTTTTTTTTCAAAATTAGGGATCCGTTATAAAATTGCTATTTTGTAACACAAGGTGTAAAATCGAAAACCCATTTTTGCGTGCGCTGCAAAAACTATTGACAATAGAACAAAACTAGCAAACCAGTGAAGCAAATGTTCACCAAAACCTGATTTAAAAAAAAAATAATTAATTGAGAACTTCGGAGATTTTGTGTGGTTTCGTTTGAAATTCGTGATTTCTCGAAAACCGGAAGTGCTACATTACTCAAATCCGGTTTGAAGTCTTATCAGACTATTCTTAACTTATAACTTAAATATTCTCTTTATCTATCTCTTACGGTTTGGCCGCTGAAACAGCACCACAGACAGACGGACGGACGGACTTGTCTAATAGATAAGAGATGATGTACTACGGGTTTGTAGATCCCATTAAGACCTACAAAAATTCCGCGAGAAAATATATCTAGCTATCATGGTTTAATCACAATAACCGATTTTGTGTTCAAAATAATTATTAAATCGTCTGAAGAAAAAAAAACTACGTTAAATATGTATCGTAATATTAATATTTATCGAAATTAAGCATTATGTTATCAAGAGTATTTATGTAGAAGTAAAATACTTTTTGTTTCATCTCAATCGGATATTTCGTTTAAAAGTTACGTGTATAAGATGTTAAGAGTTGGTACCTACCTAGGGCTGCCATCTCTAAAATGTGGCAACCAGGATAAGACGCGTGATAACCCCGGATTTTGGAGCCCAGAACCCGGACAGACCAAAAAAAAACAGTTAAAAATGTCACAAATCAACTTTTTTATGTTGATCCAGGCAAAAGAGCTAGCAGTCTACCTCATAATAAGTGGTCACTGCTGCCCATGGACACTTGCAGCACCGGAGGCCACTCATGCGTTGCCGTAAATTTTTAACCCGGACTACAAATAAAACCCCGCCCGGACGCTCCCCGGACGCCCCGTAAACTAGGACAAATCCATCAACCTATTAATGAGTTATGGGCCATAGAGTTTTTTATCAACATAAAATCCTGTAATAATCTTTTTCGAAATATATTTGTTGATGATTGTAAGTATCAGATCTTTGAAGAGTATAATAAATACATTTCTAAAATAACTCTGCTAAGGAAATCCACGCGCGCTTGATGCAAGCAAGACAAGACGCTGGTAAAACTATTAGTTGGTATGTAACACAAGGACAGCTATATCACTATATCTGACTGTAAAACACAATTATCACATTATTATTATAAAGGCGAAAGATTCTGAGTGTGTGAGTGTGTATGTTTGTTACTTATTCACGTAAACGGCTGGAGCGATTTTAATGAAATTTCGTGTGAATTGAGCTGATACCCTGACATTAACATACAGGCTACGTTTTACTGCGGGAAAATATCCCTAATAGACCGCGGGTAACACCGCGGGGCACAGCTAGTATATATATATTTTAGTAGCCAACAGATATACGTTAAATTCATGAAATAACAGTTTTATTCTGTATAATTGTTTCTTAAATTAAGATAATTTGCACAATTCTAGTTTTGGTGGTATTCTTTTGTATTTACCACCAAAATTGCTCACCTAAATTGGCTACATTAGGTACATTTATCGAGAATGGCTATTAAATAAAGTCAGAAGTTAATTGGTGCCCTCAATGACCTTCTGTGTTCCCCAGTCTGGGCATATAAGGTGGGCCTTTGAGAAAATCAGAATGTATTTGATACAAATAAATGTTGCCATGGTAAATATATATATGGGTGGGTGTTATAAGATTTTTTTGTATCAATTATCAATTTTGGTGCCCTGTAATTTAGGTGTCGATAATATATCAAGAAGTTACACTAATAAATCTATTCTTCTCGTTATTCATAAATACAAATAGGTTTTTTACCACAATAAAAATAATAATATAAAAACAAATATATACACCAAAATTAGGAAAAAAATATACTTATAGTCTGTGCGGAAAGAGAATGGGATTTAGATTGGAGGGCGCTGTAGTGCTTATCTACTGTATTTGTAAGGTTTACCCCTTTTAGACATGATTAAATACAAAAAACCGCAAGAAATCACAACAACAAACAAATCCATATCAATACAAAACTTTGACGTTTTACAGATTGCTGGGTTTGATTGCCAAATAAAAATCTTAATGTTAGTTCCGTTTTTCGCCACGCCCATTTTCTTTCCGCACAGTCTCCAGTTAGTTGTTGAAATTCACAAACTAATTATTTATTTGTAATAAGTTGTAATACAAATCAACAAAGTTACTGTTTTCATTCATTTGTCTAATACAGTTAAAAGAATTGTCATTAGTTACACACACTGGTACATCGCCAGTATATTTAACATTATTGTAAACTATGCCGAAGCTCTTAACTTCATTCAGGGCGTCTCTGAGGCATGCACATTGCCAAGGATTTTGATTAAAATAAAACTTAACTAAACCAGTACCAGAATTTTTCAATTCCAAACAAAAGTTATCTGTCAAAAAACTGAATCTGTTATCAGCGAGATTCAAATTCTTAATAGGGGAGTTTCTAAAAGCGTTGACTGGGACAAACTCTATTAAATTATGAGACATATCGATATTACCTAGTCTTGGTAAGCTCCTAAATAACGTATCTGGTATTTGCTTCAGTTTATTGTTATTCATATTTATCATTTTCAGTTTCTTCAATGGTGAAAAAATGTTGTCTGTGACACTTTCAATAGAATTGAAAGACAAATTCAATATTTCCAAGTTTTCTAAATTTTTAAATATTTTTGTATCGTCTATTGATCTAATTTTGTTTGAAGACAATATCAAATGTTTCATCGTCTTCAAGTTAGGTCCTGTCACGAATTTAGGAACCTTATTCAATTCGCATCGATCCAGATTTAAAAAATGTAACTCTTCAAAAGCGTCCAATAGAATATCTTTAGATCCAGACATGTCGTTTCTAGAGAAGTCCAAGACCTGTATACGAGTGCTCTGATCAAATATGTAGGGGTTCATATCAATTCCTAACAGCGCATTACTAGAAAGGTCTACGTGTCTTAACTTCTTAAGAGTATCAAAAATACCAAGCTCTAGTTCATTTATATTATTAGCTTTGAGATCCAAAACTTCTAAGTTTGGTTTTTCATCGAATAATCCAAGGGGGAAGCCTTCGAGTTCGTTGTGAGATAGGTTAAGAAATTTCAGTCGCATAAATTCATCTAGAACGCCTAGTTTTAAGTTTTTGATCTTATTTTGAGACAGGTCAAGATATTCAAGAGCTGGCATTTGATGGAAAGCCTCAAAATCAACGTCAATAATGTTGCAGTCCCTCAGGGTTATCCTTGTGGTCCTGTTGTTGCTTGAAACGAGTCCTCTCACTAAAACGTAGTCTGAAGATCCGGCTGTGCAAATGAGGTCCCTCTTGGTATCTTCTGTGAAATTACATGATGGTTGTGCTTCTATTAATATGCATTTGAATGCTAGAAATACAGTGATGGCACGTAGCATATTTGACGCAATCGAAGAACCTGCAACGGTTTTTAAAAAAAGACATAAAAATATTATAGTATTTATATTTATAATTAAAATTCTTATAATAAATATCAGAAAGTCAAACTGTTTGGTATTATGAGTCTTAGTAAATAGTACCTATGTAAGTTTAATATTTTCTTTCTAAAATATTGTACGACCTTTACGATACCTGTATTCATTTCAATAATGACTATTGTCGTATTCACCATATTTTGTTTTTCTTGAGACTACAATAATTGAGAATCGAACCTCAGTGAGCAACAACTCGAGTCAAACAGACTCATCTCTGAACTATCCAAGGCTACCTCTATGTTTGTATTACACTAACGTGATAATAACTCGGATTAAGATCAATTTTGCTATTAGGCAAATCATCCAGAAAACATATTTATAAATCTATGCCAATAAAATAAGGTAAAATATATCAATCAAATAAAAAAACTAAACAAAATATTGCAAATATTAAAGGTATATTCATTTTATTGTCAAAATCATACATGTTATTTAAAAAAATCTGTTATAAAAAATGTTAATATTTATTATGTAGCACGGAAAGGTTTTTTTCCTAGTAGTATTGTTTCTTAACAATACTGGTATAACACGGCTATCAAACATAAAACAAAAACAAGACAGTAATTACCATTTATAAGAGAATTTCAAATGTTCAATGTAAATAGTATTTGTATTTGACTTTACCTACTTACCAAAATTGTTTTCTTCTATCTTGTCAAGCGTTATTCGCATATAATGAAATAATATGGTATATTTGTTGCAAATTCAATTTAAAATGGCCAAGCAAAAACTTATAATCAACTACATATTATTATTCCCATGACTGAAATAGAACTATTTTTTATTTCAGTCTTTCCTAAATTACGCAGGATAGATTATGGAACTACATGGCTTTATAATAATTTCAAACAAAAGACTTCTTGAATAACGTTACAACAAAACGCTAACTGGTGCGTACAAATATCCGTTATCTCACTGACCTCACAATATATCACTCGGCAATATTCCACTGTGTTTTTTTTCTTCACATACAATATCAAATGGCGATTATAAACATTTACAACTTTAATTCTTCACCTATGATATGATTATTATGATTTGTATCTTATAGTACATACTCGTAAAACCAAAATATAAGATGAACTAAGCAAAATATACGTGTGTTGAGGACGTACTTCCCTGATAAAGTGGCATTTGAGTGACTAAAACTCGTTCTTCTTGTAGTCAGAATAAAAATATTACTTACTTGGACGCTAATAGGGCAGTTCGGGTCTGTGACGACGCTGACACTAAAATTTCTTATTTTAATGTTATTTGTTGTATTTCTAAGTGTTTCGCAAGAATGTACTGTTATTTAAATATGTTTGGAAACTATTATATCTTTAATTACATTCAAAGCTGATTTACATGACATTCATGAAACATGAAAAATATAACATACGTACCTATTTTACAACTTTAATCTCTTCTGCAAGTGAAGTAATCGCCGACGCAAACAGCAATATTTCCGTCATAGATCGTACTGTTATATTCAATGTTATGATTCTTGACCTCTGTCAAGATGTCTCTCAGACAGGCACACTGCCAAGGATTATTGGTAAATAAGAATTTCTTTAGCTTTCCTCCGGAACTTATCAATGTATCATAGAAGTTTACTGGCAAATAAGACAGTTTATTCCCCGACAAGTTCAAATTTTTCATGGGCGTGTAGCGAAATGAAGAAAGTTTTATCGTTTCTAAATCATTATAAGACAAATCTATTGTAATCAGTTTTGGGATGTTCTGAAACAATGTTTCTGGGATCTCTTTCAAATGATTATGCTTTAATACAATAGTTTTTAGTTTTCTCAATGGGTTAAAAATGTTTTCTGCTATACTCTCTATTGCGTTTCCGACCAAGTTCAATATCAACAATTCATCCAAGTTAATAAAAATTGTCGGATCGTCGAGCCTACTTATTTGATTAGTAGATAATATTAAAATCTTCAAAGTTTTCAAGTTGACCTTGGTTGCAAATGACGGAACTTTGGTTAAAAAGCATCTATCCAAATATAATTCATGTAGCGTTTGAAATGATTGAAGTAAATTTTCAGGAGCTGCAGACATATCGTTTCTTGACAAATCCAGCCATGCAACGTGGTTATTATTATAGAAAATACGAGCCGACAAACTTTTGCCGTCGAGAACATTGTTAGACAAATCCAATTTGTCTAACTTTATTAGTTTATCAAAAACTTGCGGTTGTAGCGTTTTCAGAAGATTTCCTTTTAATATAAGCTCCTCAAGGTTGCTTACTCGGTCGAAAGTGCCAGAAGGTAATTCCGAAATATGATTGTGTGATGCATTTAATGATATTAGTGATAACAAGAATCTCAAAGTACAGGACCTAATTTCGTGTAACTCATTTTCCGCTAAATTTAAATGCATTAGCATAGGCAAACCTACAAATGCCTCACACTCAATGTCAGTTATCCTGCAACCTCTAAGGCTAATCGATTTGACTTCACTTTTGCTTGAGACGAGGCCTTCCTTTAATTCATAATTTGTACCATCAGATTCACAAACATAATACTCTTTTTGTTTGCCAAACAAATTGCATGATGGCGTTGCGTAAATTGAAAGAATTGGTAAAGTTAGTATCACAATCTTTAACATCATCTTGCTTTAATGAACTGAAATAAAGAATGTATTCAATAGTTATTAAGATTATAAATTAATTCCATCTTACAAATTATCTTGTATCTGGGTACTTAATAGGCTCCTGAAACTTGTTGATATACCCACTATTGCTTTTTATGCTTACATTATAATTAGACATTAAATACTATTATTGATATCTGGTTGCTTACATTTTTTTTAGTTTTAATTTACAAGCAATGATTTTGACGTGACAACGTCTTAAATTAGGTTGCGGCTGGGAGTCACTTATGAAAAAGTGTAACGCTCGGTAACGTTACGATGAGTTTAAGTTTACATGTACAATGTTTTAGTAAACAAAATATATTTCTATAGTTAAAATTTGTGCAATTCTTATTTTCATTCAATTCCTTGTTCCTATTGTGCAATTTAATTATATTCATATCAATAAATATTCTACCGAGAAAAAGACGTTGTCACGTAAAATCTTCGCCCGTAAAACCGACTTTACAGGCAACCATTTTTTTATAAGTAAATTATATTGAAGTTTAAAAAAAACATACAGCAGGAGATCAAAAGTAAAACATAATTTGTACGGTCTACAAAAGATATTTAAAATCATGTAATAATAATGATTATTTAAATGCTACTTACTTCATAAAGTTCACTACCAGAATGGACACTTTGTATCTCACTATGAGTAATAATAGGTGTCTGAGTTTATTATTTATTATCCTTATTCGTCCATTCCCATATCACCGGTTGCACTCATAATTCGCTAAAAATTTTATGCCTGTATCACTCGAACTACGACAACCTTATAAATGGTGAGTACTTAACAGCCAATTACTTCACATCCAATATCATAAAAAAATAGTGAGTATCGTGCAACACTCGGTTGGAACTAAGTTAAAATTTTAAGTACACAACTACACACAATATGTTAAGAAACAGCTTTTTTCGCCTTGAACCCACCCGCCAAGTCCGTACCGTGCGATAAGGAACTTCGTTACATTAATATATTATAATCAAAGTATTATTATATAATTATTTTGATTAGTCCTAATTGTTTTTACCCAGTTACGGACTTTTTTAGCTGTGGAGAAGAACTAGCGAAAGATACTCAGCAAAATTAAAGAAATAGTAATGACACAAAAACCTATTGTCAAAACCAAGAACTAAAAATGTCGTATAAGAGCAAACAAAAGCCGCTCAAATACAAATATACTCATAAACTCTCATTAATAAGAAACAAAACAAAAGAGCAAATAAAACAAAACAAAAGAGCAGATAATAATATGTATGAGCTTTATGTATGAACCAACCAACCAGTGAGTGAAGCTGTGAACCAGCCATAGCTAAATCACCGACCAGACAATTCATTAACAAAATATGAATAATAAAATAATAATTCGACGTGACGTGACGTGACGTGAGTCTATAGCATAGGTGATCTAAATAAGACGAAAATTACACGATGAAACCTACATAGGTGTTTGTAGCACTGGTAAAATGTAGAAGTGAATGATGTTAAGCGCCCACCTGAAGAATAGAGATTATAACTTTTTTCTTCGTCTATCTCTATTCTACAGTATCAAAATTTATTGGCCATGTTACACGTTACACGTTGTTATTCACATAATCAAAAAAAACAGAACTAAATATAATGTTTTGAAATGACGCATAACGTCACGACTTGGTATTTTTTTTACTTAAAAGTGATTTCACAAAAGCACCCACTCGCAAACCTCGCAAAGCAACTCGCAAAGCAAAGCCCGTACTCGGGTACACGAAAAACATTACTCGAGTTCGGGCACCCGAAGCGGTATTTCCACTGGAATACGGGCTGGAAGACGATCTCGGGTAACCAAAACGAAAACTACCCGAATACGCGCGTACTCGACTCCGTTCATTTACACTTATTCGTTTACCTGAACACCATTGGTAATCGTTATTTGGGCTAACGACCAAGTGTAAATGAGCCATTATGTAATAAAATTCCTTGGAGCTTTTGTATTCGCATATTACCAAGATTGAACTTTTCCTCATTAGAAATAAAATATCGACTTGAACAATGAATACCACAAACATGTTAATGGAATCATTTTCCTTATGTGACTTCAGATATTGACAAATATAAACTTTTCGCAGAGTATAAGCTTCACTTTAATGATTAATTAACTACTATTATTAGGTAAGTGTATTTAGAACGGAATAAGAGTTCTATACCCTATATCCATAGTTCGAATAAAATAAAATCAATGTATCAGTACAACATTGGAATTCTTAGCATAACGATCTTCCCACGCACACCCACATTTGTTTACGTTTGTCATAATGTCACCTTGACCAGTTAATCATAATCATATTCAAGTTTCGTTTAAGAATTGAGATTTTAAGTAGTTTTAATAGTCCAAATTAAATAATACCAGTTGGTAAATAAAATCGCAAAACCGAATGATTTTATTTATTTCTCCTTCACCACATTCATTCGAATAAAACATAACATACAAATGATATAAATTAATTATTTACATGGTTAACACTGATCATTTGTCTCTTGTTCACTTTTATTTTCAATATTTACATCAACATCACCAGATGGCTTGTTGTAAGATAAGCCCTCCACCATATGCGTATTGAAATCAACAGTAACAGAATTATTTTTATTCTCACTGGCACTACATTGTTCTAAATCATCCAAAGCATTTCTAGTAATATCTATTTCACTTTTGAGCCTCTGTATGGCTTGAATAACTTCGTTTTGGAAATTCATGTTCAATTTATACAATTGTTCCGAATACTCCTTTTCTCTTCTCACTTCAGCTTTCAAATGGGTGTCCTTAAATTTATCGAATTCCGTCATTATCCTCACTTTTGATTCATACGTGTGCTGAACCATGGAGACGAGTTTAAATAGTTTTTGAATAACTTTATCTTTGACTTCTTTTGAAATGTTTTGATCTGATTCTAGATCTGTTTTGGCATCAAGGGCCAAATCATTAGCTGATGACGGAAAGCCAAGGAGTGGTTTCGATCCATTGGAACCGTTTGAACCCTTATTAAGCGCTGCATTATCTACTGGTGGTGTCTTCTCTTTATTAGTTTTTGAAGTAAAAGCTCCATGAGTAACCACCTCTGTAAATACACCTGAACTGGGTTTACCCGATTGGTATTCTGCTGTTTTCTTGGTTACTTTCTGCAACAGCTCACTCTGCTTCTCCTTCTGCTTCTCATACTGCGTCTTCTCCAAGACATCTTCGTGAAATGTCCTCGTGGTTTCCGGTGATGGTTCCTTGCTCTTGCCTTGAAACGGGCTGCCAGTCCTTTTGTTGAAATTTGTTACAGTTAGCCGGGACATATCCTTCTATGGATGTTCTACGAATATGGCCATAGAAATTTCAAACAGGTCACTGATTTTCGTCGCAGTTTTAGCTGACGAGCGCTGTGGTGCCGATGTCAGAACTGAATGTATCGATATAACAGGCAGTGGCCTTTACTGCCCAAGTGTGGGTTTCGCTCCATACTTTTGGTTGGCCGTCGCTTCCTAGGCGTGACAATGAATTAATTACGCAGAAGTGCCGCGTCGTGTGGGCACGGGTGCAGTTTGCATTAAGTTTTGTTGACGATGACAACTTGAGAATAATTTAACAACTATATCTGGGGTATTACTGGCGCAATAACGGATTGGTATATTTCTGTTTCATTATAATACAATTCAATTTTTTAAATAAGGAATACATAGAATAACTAGCTGAGCCAGCAAATTTCGTATCGCCATAAAAATATGGGTGGTAGAAGGTTGAAAAATAGGGTGGTTTGTATTTTTGTATGATATATCATAAGAAAATAAAGAAAAAAATGTCCAAATAAATTTAATGGTGCACCACCCTTAACATTTAGGGGGGTGAAAAATTGTGGTCTGGGCGCGGCCTGACCAGCCGCGCGTCCTAGGTGCCGCTCCGGCATAGGCCACCACGTCTGGGGACTGCCTAGTACCCTAGCGCAGTCCCCCTGAGGCGCGTCGCCCGGTCCACTCGTTGGGCCGGGCCTGCCCGGGGGCGTGCTCGGAGATGTGGCGCACGCAGGTGCGTCGGCCCCGAGACCGCCCTCATATGGGCGTAGGAGGGTACCGGGGGGTTTTAGTGGAGTAGGATCAGTGTGGCCTTCCGCACTGGTCCTGCTTGAGTAGGGTCGGCACTGTTTCCCGTGCCGGCGAGTCCCACACACGCCGTGCGCCTAGTCAGCGTCACGGTATGGTGCGTAACTGCATTTCCCCTCGTCACAAAAAATAAAAATAAAAATAGGGGGGTGAAAAATAGATGTTGTCCGATTCTCAGACCTACTATGCATATAAAATTTCACGAAAATCGGTCGAACCGTTTTGGAGGAGTTCAATTACGCACACCGTGACACGAGAATTTTATATATTAGATGTAATTGATTGCGTACCTACCTTTTGCGCTTTAATGAATATAATTATAGTAACATAAGTATAAAAAGAAAACCTTAATTATGTATCTATATTAGAAAAAAAAACCGGCCAAGTGCGAGTCGGTCTCGCGTCCGACGGTTTCCGCGTCATTACCTTTACACTATAAGGCATTATATTATTTTATCTAACAAAAAAAAAAAACCGGCCAAGTGCGAGTCGGACTCGCGCACCGAGGTTTCCGTACAAACTCAATTTGATACCTCTACGCGTTCATAAGAAAATTGACAGCTCACGTCACGCATGCCACAACGCATGCGCAAAGCTTATTTGTACTGCAAATCAGTTAATTTACTAAAAATATTTTAAAATAGAAAGCAAAAGATAATAATTTGGGAAACCTATCATGCTTCAAGATACGATTATATAATTAACCCTTATGTATCTTCGATGTAGCTTAAAGTTTTTGGTCTCAGAATTGTAACCAAGTAAACTTTCAGCTGTGATCGTTGAAGTTAAGCATCTTTCGCAGTGATCGGTCATTGGATGGTAGACCAAAAATTTACTATCTTGGGATCCTCCGTGCTTCGGAAGGCACGTTTAGCCATTGGTCCCGGCTGCATCTGCTGTCCTTAGCACCCACTAATCCTAAGTAGTTTCAGTTATTATTAACGGATACAACCAAACTCACACGCTACCTCCCATCATGAGAAATGTGTTCTTAAAAAAACCTTTTCCGTCATGATAATTTGTTTTATGTGAAAAAACAGAAACTTTTTGATCAAAATAAAGACCAATTCCATGAAAAGAATAGCACAAAAATTTGAGATCATACGTCTACTCTTTAGTACAAAATGGCAACGCAGATCTATCAATCGAAACAAAAATGTTAATTTATTTGTTATTCTTCAGTACTTATATCCGAAATATATAAATATACATTACAATAAATTATATCTAACCAAAAAAAAAAACCAAAACTCCTTTTTGAAGTCGATTATAAGCATGCCAAAATAGTATCTATAATCTAAGTAAATAATTAATAACAGTTCATATTTACACAAAAATAATAAATGCGAAAGTAACCCAGATCAATTTCATTTGCTTTTGATATCAAGTTAAAGCTATTTTTTACCTAGTCGTGCAAATATAATCCTGAAGCCATGAAATATAGATGCTTTGTCAGGTGGTGTGTGGAAGTTTGTAATGAGAAATATTAAAAGTATTCCAGTCGCACATCGTAAAACAAAGTCGTAGTACAAACTCAAACTAGATAAATACTACTGATATAAAGGTGACTTAGTATCTTCGAAGTGAATCACTTTCACCATGCTCGTTACCTTTCCTGGCAGAAATGGCGAGCGCATCAGTATTCGGATGGTTATATAGGTACTGACGACGGATCAGTAATAGAATAAACTGTTAACTAAATACCGAGTTATATGTGTCCAATTGAGATTATAAAGTCTTTTTTTTCATTTATTTATTTTATAACAATCTTCATACTTTTTTATTTTTTCTATAGTAAGGTTCGACAAATGAGTCCACCCCACATGATGTAAAGTGACGGTGAAGTCTAGATGTGAAGCAGATTGAAGAAGATGTACAACAGTTCTACCTGCCACACCAGCCATCCTCATCTTGCCGGCCTGCTTGTTCATATTTGGGTTTCACACCGGAAGAATTCGTCACTGGGATTGTCACCACCACGTTTGTATTCTGACAACTAGCAAATAACAGCCGACTTGCATGGTGCTCCATCGCCAAAAACCTTTTTTTACTTACATAGACTCTGGTAAGCACACATTCTTTGAAATGGTGCAAATATGCAAAAATATAAAATGAGGATTTGCGAAACTAACTACATTTGAAAGCTAAAGAGTTCCAGACTATATTTTTCAAAATAATGTAAAATTTTTATACAGATTTTATTTAAAGTATATAGCAACATTTCCTTACAAATGTACTGACCTGAGCCGCCACCGGACACAGCAACTACGGTTACCACGTAGTCACGGGTGACTGTCCAATCGCCGTTACATGACAAGACACAGCAACTAAGATTTCCTATGATGGTGTGCTGTGTCGGTAGCAAAAAGTGTCTACGTTTGCGAAACTACTAGATTCTTAAATGTAAAGAAAATTTTCTAGAATTTGGTCCTGCCTTTTTTTGTAGAAAATTTTTCTTTAGATTAATGTAACTAAATTAGAAAATTCAGTTATTTCATTAAACTCTATAGCATTCTTGAAGTGTTATAGGTATAAAATTATTATTTAATTTTATTGTAGATAGGTAAAAGGAGTTGTGGATGTAGATCTCATGATAAAAACTTTCAGATGGTATGGGCTAAGCTACCTTTTGATAGTGTTCTGTTTATGTAGGTGTGTAAAGTTCCAAGACTCCACGGTGTAGGGGTCGGGGTCTCGCACCTGGTATAGCGAGCCTCTATAGCGGTATCTCACCATCATGAGGCAGACCATAAAGTTTCTTTACCACACTTTTTACTTAATCACCCTTTAATTTAATTAAGAAATCTGTACGATTTCAATACTAACCCTCCAATGACCCGACCTCTTCAAGACTATCATACTTTTAATAATTACATTATTCTATCTTGTGAATAGGGATTTCCCAGCTCTGTAGATGTAGATAACAGAATAGGTATTCAAACGGGATAGGGAAACTACAGTACTTACCTAGAACCTATAATAATCCAATGCAAGATTTAAGTGAAAAACAAATTGCTTCTAATACCTAAATCAATGACCTTCATGAATAAAAAAGAACCATAAAATATGTAACAGGTAGGTAAGTAAGTAAATAATTTCTGTGATATTTAATTATAAAAATATAGTAGCGATTATTTATTTAGCAGTAACAATGCTGAAATCATATTTTTTTTAATGGAGCTCCCTCTTATATACAATAAATATTTACTTAATTTTATTTTAATATTAGTTATTAAAGTGGCAATTGAAAAGGTTTTATGGACCGACAGCGCTGACGTTCATTAAAATGGGATTTGGTGATCATCCTAACGGGTACTAATAATATTCCAATTATTTATATTGCAAACAAATCTCATGAAATTAATGAACATTTGTGACACTTTTTGTCCATCACATTATTATCTCCCAATGTGACAAGTTCAATGATAGCAATTTAACCACGATTGCGTATGCAAGAGGCGCGTGCGCGACGTCTCCTCAGCCATATCAAACACCTCGGCGATTTAAACTACACCCATCCCTTTCACGCTCGTATGAAAAGTCACATAGTAGACAGTAACAAAACACTTGGATCATGCCCCTTGAAATCAGGGCAACGTGTCACAAACAACAGAAAAGGAGCTCAAAACATACAACAGGACGATAAAGTCATCTATACAAATCACTATGGTAGAACATAAGCCTTTCTTCAATCCAAACATCAAAGAGGATCCGAATCAAATAGCTTTCCCTTACGCTCTGCTCCTCTAAACAGAAAACGGCCTATGTACGCCTTTTGCTCGTACTGAGGAAGACAGTGCGTGCCGGAACTGCAACATACGTGCTGAATTTGAAATAGCTGTATAAAAACCAGCGGCTCCATGCCGAAACCATCACAATCAAACTAGCATTCGTCCGGTGAACACCAGGAGTACAGGAAAACAAAATGGTGTCCAATAAAGTGTTGTGTTTAGTGGCGCTTGCCCTTTTCGGAAGTGCGGTGGCGCAGCCGTCGAAGCAAGCCTTCTGGAAAGGCACTCCAATGGACGGCATGGTGGAGGAGATGAGATCCGGTTGCGCTGAAGGCTCTGATCCCACTGCTTGCATCAAATACAAGGTCATGTCTTTATTGGACTCCATCTTCAAGAAGGACACGTTCCAGGCAAGATTTATGAAAATTTAAAATCGAAATATAATTATGTAGGTATAACAAACGTGCTATTTTCAATTTTCATCTCATTTCTAGCTTTCCGAAGCCGTTGAAGTGACGAAGAATGATGCCGCCAATGACGTCACTGGCCGTTCCTCTGGCGACTTCTTCGACAACATCGAGAGCTTCATCCAATCGCACGATGTGTCCTTCCAAATGCCAATCGCTGACACCAAGATCACGGTCAGCCCCAGGAACTTGGACAACGATGAAATCAGCCTGAACATCAAGTTCAACAAAGATGGTGCCCGCTCCGTCGGTGAGGCACGCAAGGCCAAGCTCAAGAAGATCATTGTGCCCATCCTGGTGTTCGTGCTCCTCAAGGCCATGACCCTCATCCCCTTAGCCATCGGAGTCCTCGGATTGAAGGCCTGGAACGCCCTGCAACTGTCCTTCTTCTCTTTCGTCGTGTCCGTCGCATTAGCCATCTTCCAGCTCTGCAAGAAGGTGAGTTTTCCTTATTAGATTGTTGTCAAAACTTCTAAAGTACAATAGCACATTCCTTCAACCAAACCGCACACAGCACAATAAAAACCGTCTTTATCTGTGACACTTTGAAATTAGAACCGGCACATTTAACTTTATTATTTGTTTATGTTGGCTAACCTCTTTGCACAACCCTACTACCCTCAGCCTAACATTGTAGTTTACCCAGATCGCGGCCGACAACTCCCACCCGCAGATCGCCGCGCACGGCCCGTGGGACGCTGCCTACGCCGCCACCCGCCGCCGAAGGGACGCCGAGCCTCAGGAGCAAGCCCAAGAAATGGCCTACAACGCATACTTCTAAACCACGACCAAACCCGGACCAACGACTCGAACCGCTTAAGATGGCTGCTCTTCAAAATTCGAATGAGCAAACCCCTATCGGCAATAGACCAAAAATATATAAATGTTTCAGTGGAAACTAAATGTAAATACTATGTAGTAGCAACTTATTTATTGTAATGCATTAAAGCAAATGAGCTAGTGTGAATGTGATGTATGAATGTTATTTATTTGTGTTTGACAATAAACTCATTGAATAAAAAATATTTTATATATTTAATTTCAACGCACCCAATCTAAAAAAAATATTCAGAAAAGAGTTTTCCTTTCCTATTTCATTACAGTTCGTATATCTTAAATCACAAAGTATTAAACTTATACATCAGAACATAACATAAATATGTTTCTCTTTAATATTTAATTTAAATATCTATAGAGTAACCTATACACTAATAATACTATAAATAACCTCTCTCAGTATGATACTTTCAATGCTACGAGGTGGTTTAAATTCGTAGTTAAGAAATTCTTCTAGCGAATTTTCTTAGCAACAGCCACAATTATCTAGATATTAGCCATAATATTTATGAAAAGATCTAAAAAACATCAAAACCCAAAAAAACACACATGATATGGTATCAACGAACTTCCACCCCGAGCATGATGATGTTGCTCTGTAGCACTATTGTAGTATAAGCTGAATATCCAATTTCTCATAATTGTATAAAATTCATAGAACAACAAACACTTTCTCCGACTTTTTATTTATAATAAGGTTTGAACCTATAAGAAACAGAATGAAGAAAACTTTTTATTACCATGATTTCCAAACCTATAAACGATAACTTTGATTTAGATATAGGTGAATTTGATATACGAACTCCATCATGCATATTAATGGTGAAATGTGACTGTATGTATCAACTGATTAGTTTTCTGTTCAGGAACGAAGTGAACTTTCTATGTGAGACAAAATGTGTGTTGAATACTATTGCACAGTGCTGCGAATAGGTAGTGAATTTTAATAAATACTTTCTACTTAATCCTCAACGGAAATACAAAGGAGTCTTTTCCTTTATTTAGGTAGGCAAATAACTGTACCCCTCCTGATGTTAAGTGGAAGTGAAGTCCAAACTTGAATATAGCTGGTGCAGCAGTTATGAACTGCCACCCCAACCATCCTTACCTTGCCGGGCTGCACAATGCTTCTTCACTCCGCTTTTAAAGGACCCCAGGTTATAGAGAGTACTCCACTAGCGACTAGTATCTACGACAACGAAATGAGTTACTAAAGGAGATTGCTCAAATTGGCCCAAATGTACAAAAAATATTGACATATACGGTAATTCTTGGCGTAATATATACTTTATTTTATAGTCATTAGATTTTAACGGACACCTTTGTTTAATATATTCATTTTAAAAAGGACTCTTAATTTTACCGGTTTGAAAAACATACGAATCGTTTTTAATGGCTATGGGTGTAGTAACATTTAGTCATAGAATAATCGAAGTTGTTTATATAACATCAAAACAAATCTAATTTGTAAATATCGATAAAATAAAACATTTTTTTTTTATTATAATGTGGTATTAATATCCACAAGTATATTATCATTTTTACTGCATGCAAATGTGCTAAGACAAATATTATAGTTGGTAGGCGACATCATAAAGTCTATTGCCATACATTTTTCGCCAAACACATTATAAGGTGTGATACACTAAAATCTAAAATATAGTTATAATATAAACATAACAAAAATAACAAGCTTTCTTTAGTTAACGAGAGTTTAAAAATTCTCTCTAATCTGTGGCTTATTCACAAAATAATAACAAACAGTTTCTGTCACAGAGTACCTTATTATAACCGGAAATGCATAGATGATACCTGATTTTAAAAGTTACTCATAAGCATTAACTTTAAAAACAGGCAACTATCTATTAATCTTCATGCTTTATATACTTGATTCTAATACATAATTTCGGTACTTGGTTTGATTTCCCTAGTTTGCTATATAACTTATTTGTTTTTATTATTTTAATACCTATGTACCTATTTGCAAACATAACCTCAAAATCATTCAGTGTATATGGTTTATAGAAGTTCTCAGGGGTGTCCGTCAATAATAATCGTTTTTATATATAATTTCGAATCTAGGAAATAATTTTTCATGATTATTGGTCATTAGGCCAAACCTGTATGGAAGCTGAGCAATCTCCTTTCTTTGTTCGTGTAGGAATAGTCACACTAAGTCGGTGACAACGTAGGCCAGCGCGCGTGATCCTTGAAAGGAAAGGGGGAGGTTGGATAAGGGAGAATAACTCCTCAGAAGTATAGTCGGTAAAATGTGCTTAATGATGCCACATCGCAACGTATTGTAGAGACTCGAGGTTGTTAGTTACGTCTGCATCGCCAATGATGCGGGCCGCGCCGCTGAAACCTATCTAAGACATCGAGTGAGTACTCGACGGAGTCATCTCAAAGGTGCCAGCAATATTCCACGCAGGACCGCACTTGCGTCTTGTACAACAAGCACAGTTGATCGGGCATGAAAATCACCGCACCTAGCTTTTCTATACTCCGAGTTTTAGTGGAACTGTTTTAATCACATTATGATGCGAACTTCCATACCGAACAGGAGGAGATTTTGCTCTGTAGCACCGATGTTGTAACCTGATGAGGGGGAAGGGGAAGGAATGGCGACGTTAATGCCGTGAAAGCGCAAATCTGGGATTTTAAACATTGAACTCAACCAAGATTTTTCTTACAGGTTTGATATGCTCAAAACTCTTAATGAAGGAAAACAAAAGACAAGACCTCAATACAATTTACGTTAAAATTGCATCAGTTTGGATTAGTAATATCCACCGTGGTGAAGCTACAAATGCAGTATTTTGATCCTAGGTACTGTATGCAAGGTCGCCATAGCTCTCATGGAACCGGCAAGGCAAAGGAAGCTGGTGCGGTAGGCATCTGTATAGAATTCACATCAAGTTATATTGCGTTACTTCCAAATTGTTCATTGAAAATTTGTACAGTATTATACCTTAAGACTCCTTACAAAAGAAAACTATCTGTGCATCAATACCATTTAATAACTTACTAATTGGGGACCTAACAAAGTTTCATAAAACAAGCACGCAGTTCCCATCAAATGTATCAAGATATTAGAATACTTCTCTCCAGAAAAGTTATAATTTAAGATAATTACACACAAACACTAATCGGAAGTTAGGAACACCTTATTACATTATGAACCACGTTGTCAGAGACAGCTTTACCTAAGCAACAGTCTGAGGAGGCACCGTGCGTTACTTGCCACCATTACTTTGACCGCGTGCTTACTAGAGGACGCTAGGTTAATAATTTCACAGAGGCTAAAAGGGCTAGAGACACCTCTGCACGTTGTATTTTAATTAAAGCCATATTGTATGACGCCAATGCATTAGTTTCTTCTAAAGGCGTGAAGAATGTTTTACAGTTCAAGACGCGTTCGATACTCCTGGCCCTCTAGCATGACCACCGAAACGGGATATGATAAAGCGGTGTTGTATGCGTCCATAGGCCACGGTTACCGCTTACCATCAGGCGAACCGTGTGCTTATTCACTTTGGAAAAAATAAATCTTTATTTTGCAGATCGATATATCATAATTTCAAAGATAATAATATTTTCCAGATGAAATGTTTACCATATATGCATACTAATAAAAAATGGGCCTAGAATGGACCCCTGCTGTACTCCTAATTGTAATTCCGCAGGGCACCCAGGATGCCACCGAGGAATGCATACCGCCTTCGCACCGGTTGACCCACTAGTCACACATTAGCACGGATTCAAACCCGTAACCGATATTATACGACGCTTATTATAGAATGAAAGTGCTATAGCGCCTTAAACAACACATTTTAATTCTTAAACCTTGCCTTTAGCGATTAATGGTTATAATATACATATACCAATACAGTTACCTTTTAGCTTATTAAGTTTTGGCATGACATGACAGTGTCGCCAGGACACTCAAAAACTATTAATAGTGTTCAATACAATACAATCAATAATTATAGAATAACACCATGCCTCGCCTTTTGGGTTTTGTAAAAAGCTACTTAGTAGAGTTAAAAGACAAATCTTTGTTAAAAGAGATTAACTTTTACAGACTTTTGCCTTTGATTGAATAGGTGGCATAGTCGCCACAGTCCCATAACCTATTGAGGGTTTTAGAACAGGAAAAGTCCGAAACTATTGTAGATAAAATTTTGTTATGCACTATCAACGCAGCTTACATTGTAATTTGTACCTAATGTAAAATCGCACAAGAGAGATAAAGCGGCCTGTCATATTTTAACTGTCAAACTGTTTTATAATTCACTTCAATCAATGGTAATCAAAAGATCTCAGTTTCGTTTCTATCGTAATACTTAATCATATTAAAATCACAATACAGTCCAAGAAACCATGAATATACTTAAGAGCCCTGTCACATTTTTTGCGAAAAAATCGTAATTTTTGAGGGCCTTGTTTACCCCCTTAGAGTAAACAGTAGATTTATTCTTCCTATTGTAAGTTAATGTAGAATATTTACAAATACTATTTCCTTTTTTTGTACTGATCGTTCTACCGCAGCTAGTTTAGGGAAAAAACAATAATATGCACAACTTTAAAGGCCTCAATTTCTCAATTATGTTGAATAAATTAGATCAAATTGATTATTACAACATCAGAAATATGTTGTTGTTGTAACATAATGTATTAGAATCTTGATTTTCCATCTCATTAATTATTAAAAAAACATCTAACCTCCGTGAGTTTTCCCAAAAAATAATGCAGGTTTACCTCGTATTTTGATATTGAATTCAATAAAATTACTATCAAAAACTTTCATAAAACTAATTTACAATCATTGAACTACTGAAATATGTATTTATTTTAATAATAAGTTCATTTATTATTTTTTTATAAGACTCGGAACATCACCCGTAAAATGCAATATATTATACTAGTGCAAATCAATTTTCTTCAGATGGTTCAGATCAGCAGTTCAAATCAGCAATTTTATAAATGGGCTCTTAATATAATTTTAAACTAACTGTCTCTATTTACAAGTCTTATCTTTTGTAAAAAGGTAAGGCTTCAAAAAATATATTTTATTCAATAAATTGAATCAGCTGTTTATAATGTCAGTCACAGAATTGCCAAGTGGTAGACTGATTTACCGTTTCTCCAACATGTAGTAGAATCCAAATAGTACTATTTACTTCAATTTACTTGTTGTGTCAGATGTGAGGGACTACCTATTGTCACATTCACATCATATCCACGGCATAATAATATACGCCACGTGGTAGAGCTTTAATTTGCATTGAAAAATAAATGAATTAAATAATGTAATTGAACAAATGCTTTGTATATTAGTAAGTGTATATTTATTAAGTATAAAACAAGTAAAAGACACAAACTCTCTAATTCGAATGTGTATTAACAGATCCAATTCAATAAATACGGATCTATCTGATTAATGAATATTTAGTTTTATTGAATCAATCATCTGAATTACAAAGTAAATTTCAATATTTTTAATAGAAATATATTTTATACATATGTAAGTACTCTCAAAATAAGGTAATATCATTAATTAAAAAACAAGGTTTTATTAAACGTAAATAAATACATTTGAAGCTGTAACGGAAGTGAAACAGGCATTTCACAATACGGACGAAGCGGTGGCGTCTGACAAGGCGGCCGACGCACTGTGCATATAAAATGGCGGCTACCCTTATTGCATAATGGAGATTGGGTAAGTAAAACGCGAGCTTTATGTTAAATGCAAGCGAATTTCACTTTCCGACACAAAGTCATGATAAGGTTACATCACACCAAAACAAAAATGACCCACTTGAACTTACAGTGGAGATTGAATTAGATAAACTTTCATGGAAATTTAAGGAACAACAACAGTTTTTGTTCTTACGTCGTCGGCGTTTTCGCAAATCCACGTTCTTATAGCGTCTGTTTTGCATGTGGAGGGTGAGAAACTGGAATCATACTCCAGTAAAAAGCTTAACATGCCTTCCGATACCAAAATTGTAATTTTAATGTTATTAACTTTTCTACGTAAGTAAGTATAAGTTAATTTTAGGACACTTTTAACTTCCGCTATCGCAGATCAAAAACGCTATCTATTGCTTCACGAACTCTTCCAAGCAATTCCATGCTCTTGAAGAACAAAATGTAGTATTTTCACCTCCCAGCTTTGTAGCGAAAATCGCATAACCCACTATTACTTGGCTACTACGTCACTGCTAACACTATGACAATCAAGTGAAAATATAAAAAAATGCTTCCTTGTATTAAAACTAACAATTCAAATGTTGACAACTATTACAAAAGCTTAGGAATTAATTCATAAGAGAGCATACGATGCTATGCAAAAGTATAGTATACCGCTCACGACACTAAATTCGATACCAAATCAGCAGGTGCATTTTACTGCGATTATCTGTTTTAATGCATTTGTAATAAAGGGGTTTTTGAAATAAAATTGTAACCACCAATAATGCCCATACTGTTACCTACTTGATTTATGGGTACCGGTCATTTCGTCGCACGCTTTGGGTAATTTAACATACGATTGGACATTCGGCTAATACAAATTACATTAACGCTATTCTTCTTGGAAGTTTGTTTGGGTAGGTATACGGAATTTTCCATCAGTCAATACTTATTAAAAAAATACGTACAACCGTAGTATGATTATGTATATTACTAGAACTCTAAAAACATAACATTCCTTTTTTGACAGTCGTGCAATAACAGGAGCATCTTCAAGCTACAAACATACATTCAAGTTTAACAGTTTCCATCCATAGCAGCCTTTTATGTTGACCGCTTTTAGAGACAGGCCTCCTCCATAGCTTTTCATTTCTGTCTCTCCATAGCCATATCAACCATGGTAAGCAAATCGTCGATATTGTAGGACAGGAGAACAATGTCGTCTGCAAACCTCAGATTACTCAATCTCTCCCCATTGATATTTTCCTTTCACTGTAGCTGTCTGAAAACATTTTTAAGAGCCGCAGTAAATAACTTTGAACCTATTGTGTCACCTTGATGGTATTAATCAGTAAAATACAAACTATAAACCAGTATAAAATCAGTCGCATTAAGTACGTTCACGGCGATCTCAATAAATACCTACTGAACCGATCAGGATTACAGTGTCCATTTCTGTCTGCATTCCTTTAATGTCTAAAATTTTAGAATGTATTTATCCTATAATTTCTGTTTCTTAAAAGGTTATTTCCCAAAATGTGTTATTGTTTTCAATTCCTAAAATGACCACCTTGAATCTCTTGAGTGCCTTGAGTCTTAAGTATGGCCCTGTTGTTTAAACATACTTAAATATGGCTATAGTTATAAAGACTAGAGAAAAAATAACTATTTGTTACAATTTTACATATAACCTTGCCGTGTTACTACTAATCGTACTACCAGTAGTAACACCGTTAATTTTTATTGCCTTTCTTACTACTTCAGCTCAAGTGGTAAGAAGGGAAAAATTAAAAAGCCCGTGTTACCACCGTAAATACGTAAACAAAAAAAGCAAATATCATTTCTAGCTACATTTGTTTTTTATATACCTAAATTAAACATTTTTTTCCCACATATAAAATATATATAAATATAATTTTCTGAAATATACATATTTCAGAAAATTACCAGGAGATCATACATAACTAGGTTCTGATTATGAAACTGTAAAATAAAAAGCTTATTCGTAATGTTTATAGTTTACGGTTTAAATGTTAAGTACCCATTGATGCATAACAAAATATAGTTGCGAGAGTGATATTTATTTGAAAGTGATTTGAGGATACCTAAATATTTTTTTAGGGGTGATTGGGGTGAACAGCCAGGTTTTAGGATTATACAGGGCATCCCACGGGTTTCTCACGTGGTGGGAAAGATTGAAGATAGGATATTTGACTGAAAGAAGACATCATTTTGTTTCTAATAATAAATAGAATTGCATTCACTGTTTTTAAAAAATCACCTGCCTAAACCGGGAATCCAACTCGTGAAATGTGAAACAAAAAAAATACATGTATTTTATGATAACCGTCGAAAGGGTAAATCATTAGGATTATTTTTTCCTAATCAACATAGCATATTAAATTAAAGAAAAATCAGGAAATTTGACTTTTGAATTGAAAACTTCTTTAGCGGCACTTCTGCCGGCACTCCCGGAGTGCAACCCGTCGTTTTTCTATTTTTTATAACTGAACACAAACTGCAATAGAAATGAAACTGTGCTAGGTTTGTGTAAGTATCGCTTGTTTTCACGTACTCATAGTAAGGAAGTCCTTTATTATTAAGTGGGCAGGTACTAGTTAATAAATACTTTGAAATGATAAGCTGTTGGAAGGACGGAAAAGTAAGAGGAAATTTTCCTGAACAAAATTTTAATTTCATGATCTTCCTTTCATTAGTTGTTGAGTGCATGGAAAAGCAAGAGATTTTTTTCTAAAACAAAATTTTAATTTCATGGTCTTCCTTTCATTTAAAATGATATGTTATTTAAGGAAAAAAATACCATTATGATTAAAGAAAATATATCTAGAAAAAAATCCACGCGGACCAGGCAGCAGACAGGACTCGAACCCGCACCCTTCGCAATCCGGGCGAATGCACTGACCAATTATGCTACCGCGGCACTCACGGACCGCGTCGCAATTCCTCTAGCCATTCTTAAGCTGCAAGGCAGCGCCATCTCTTCGCATTATAGGTAACCCACAATAGATGCCGTTTTTGGCGTGAAAGCGCAGACCTGATAAATGCTAAGAAAACCTTCTTAGCATTGAACTCAACAAAGTTCATGGTACCCCTTTCAGAAATGTGTTCCAAAGCCTGATTGAGTTCAATGACAAGATTCTCCCGTTTCTTCTTGGTTACCGCCTATCCAGCCGCTGCTTGTCCGAGATACCCCGCATGCACAGTACTATCGTCTGCATAGCAATGAATATTCCTAATTGATAATACGAATTCTACTACCGTCCGTAAGGACACAAATTCTACGCTCATGCAGGAAGTCAGCTACCCAGGAACAGAACTGGGCTGGCAGACCATATGCCGGAAGCTTGGAGAGAAGGCTTTTGTGCCAGACCCTGTCAAACGCCTTGGCAATATCAAGGCTGATAGCCAACGGCTCGTGCTTGTCGATAGCCTCACCCCAGATATGAGTCAGGTACGCCAGAAGATCACCCGTCGTTCGTTTAGGTCTAAAACCATAATGACGATCATTAATCAGATAGTGATCTTCTAGGTAGCGGGTCAGATGGTTGTTAAGGACCTTTTCTAGGACTTTACATTATACTGAGGTGACTACTATTGGCCGGTAGTAGGCCGGGTCTGAGCGATCCAGTTTTTTGAGCACCGGTTGCACGTTGGCATCTCTCCAAGTGTCCGGCACACGCCCCAAAAAATACGCGCTTTGGTACAAGCGCATGAGCACGGGAGACAACTCTGCTGCACATTTTTTTAGTACAACTGCTGGGATGCCATCAGGTCCACTAGCTTTCCTGTCGTCGAGTGATTGCAATTCAGCGCGAATCTCACGCTGATTGATTTTAATTTCAGGCATCGTTATGCCACAATGAGGTAATGATGGTGGTAGTGCATTGCAATCATCGATTCGGGAGTTAGCCGCAAACAGTTTTGCCAGTAAATCGGCTTTCTCCTGTGGCTTATGAGCTAGTGTTCCGTCTGAGCATCTCAGAGGTGGCAGCGAGGGCTGGCAGAAGTCCTGCAAAAGCAGGACCTTGGCCAAACGCCAGTAGCTACCATAGACCTTAGGATGCGTTATAAGTTCCTGACCAACACGAGCAACGCACTGGACAACCGCTCTGATGTAAGCCTTCTTACAAAATTGTAGGCTACTTTGAGTGAATCGACCTCGGGATCCTTAAGAGCGCGACCTCTGATCCAAGCACGATATGCCGCTTGCTTACGCGAAGCAGCTTCAGCACAGTCGTGATTGAACCAGAGGTTACGTGTGCCCTTACTGATGAGATCAGAATGAGGAATATAGTATTCCATACCCATTATAATCTCCTCAGTAATGGCAAAGGCGCATGTCCGTTAAGCGAGCATGGCAAAGTGCGCAGAATCGCTTAAAAAAAAGTGCATCAATTAGTGCTAGTTTACTGCTAATATAGTGCGAAAACCTGATATTTAATGCTCTCATAGTTTCGCGAAAAATTACAGCTTTTAATTTAGCTAGTAGTGTATTCCCTAAAACGCCTATATTAACACAGTATAGAACTAAAGCAATGCATAGGGAATTTAATGCTTAATGAGTGCTGGCAGTATGTGATAAAAAAATTCGAAAAAAACAATATATTTAATTTTTTAGCAATCGAAACTGCTAGTTTGGCAGTCTGAGCAAGTGACCGGGTTGAATACATCACTCTGAATCGAAGATCTATGATAATCAACGGTTAATAATTTAGTGCTCTATGCGTGCTGGCTTTATGTGATAAAATTTTTGGAAAAAAAGATTTTTTACATGGCAGTCTGAGCTAGTGACCGGGTTGAAAAATTAGTGCTCAATGAGTGCTGGCATTATGTGATAAATTTGGAAGTAAGAAACAAACAGTTTTGATTCGAACCTATTTAAATGTCTAATAAATAAACACACACGAACATTCGCGCAAGCGCCCTGGGTCTGGAAAAAATTAAAATTCCTATTTTTTTATCACATACTGGCAGCACTCATGAAGCACTAAATTATTAACCGTT